ATAAAATTAATATTTTATACTTTCAAAAATAAGGTTTTCAAAATTAAGATTTTACACTTTTGAAAATGTTTTTTTTTAATTATTAACCATTTTTAGAAAAAAATTAATTAATTTTTTTAAAAAGTTAGAGAAAACAAATAATAATAGTAAAGCATAAATAATTCCAATAATCTATCTCTATCGTGCCACTGATCAAATTATGATAATAACTTTTAACCAATAAACTTTTAATCTAAAACAAATATAGGAAACCCAAAATTATATATTCCTGTCTTTTTTTAATTAGAAATAAAGTCAGAGAAAAGGAGAAAATGAAAAATCAAGAAAACAAATTATTCATTCATCTTATTATTATTATTATTATTATTATTATTATTATTATTTACCTTCTCTTACTACTCTCCTTAAAGAAATAACATCTATACTTTTAAAAAATTAGCAAAATATATTAAAAAAACCAAAATATCACTACAAAATAGTAATTGCAGAAATAAAATCTAAAAGAATTTAAGATCTAAATAAATAAATAAATAAATAAACATGCTTGCCTCTGTATTTGTCTTCTTTAAAACCTTCCCATTAACAATTAAGGAGTTTCATTGGTTTTAAAATCAACGAAAAGATAAGAGACGATAAAAAAAAGAAGTGAAAAAAAAAACACTATCACGTTTATTATTAAAAACCATCAAATGGTAATTAATACTATGAGAGAAAAGAATAACAACCCAAAGACAAAAGTGAGAAGTGAAAATCTAAAAACGAAAACCCTTATAATTTAGAAAGGGTGAAGAAAAGAACAGAGGGAAGAGAAAAATAGAAAAATGATGAAAGATTGACGAGAATTGAAACCTTAAAATTTTAGTGATAGTGTAAGAATGAAAAATAAAGGACTTTGCTGTTACTTAGTGCTTAGGAGTTGGATTAGACTAGAACCAATAATAACATATATATAAAGTCATATTTCAGTCAAATTGGATATAGAATAAATTTTTTAGATGAATATAAAAAATAATTAAAAATGGATGATACAATAATTTTTGAAATAATCGGTCACTCAAAAACTTTCACAACATGTTTGTCTAGTGCATATATTCTATTCTTTAAAGTTAAATGCATGTACCATGATTTTCTTTCTATTTGCTGTTAGGTGTATTGAAGGAATAGGGTTGGCACTTTATTTTTTAGATTAGAATGAGAATTTATGAGATGCTACTAAAACTTGCACGACGATGACAAGTTAGGGAAATGGAAAATTAAAGTCTATAATCCATAGTCTTATACAGAATAGATTTTAATTTTTAAAAGAAAACTCCATTCCGATTATTGTTTAGAAAATAAATGCAAAATGTTCAGATTTAGAATATAATGATGTGTAAACTACTGGTATTCCCATTTATGGCCAACAACAACACAAGTATTTTATAGTTTTTTATTTATATTTCTTTCTTCTCATAAACTTTTTTTTTTATATTTTTCATAAACTATTTTACTTTGATATAGAAGAATAATTACAAAATAAAAATTTTTCAATTTAAATGAAGACCGACTCTACTGGTTTAAAATATTCAATTTATTATTCACTAATATTCAGCTATGAAGCTGTCTCTGTGTTAAAGAATTATTTTGAGTGGGTACCATCAAAGATGGATTTAGTGATGAAAAAGAGCGGTGGCCCTAAACTTCCCTCGTCATTTTTTTTTTCTGTTTAAATTATCTATTGAATTTAATTTTATTCAAAAGATATAATTTATAAGAATAATGTGTATGTCAAAGCCTACACATATCTTAGTTTTTATTTTAGTTTTTAGTATTATAATAAAATAAAATTATTTCCTGACTTTAATAATTATTATTTATTTTAATTTTTAATATTATTTAAAAATAATTTTATTTCTTAACTAATTATAGCTTATAGGTAATTTAGTTCCTGTTACACACTGATGCATGGATCAAATTACTAATCATATACTAGCATGTAGATTAATTAGTAAGTAATTATTTTATTTTAACATGTAATATTAAATTTAATTTTTAATAAATACAGATTATATTAATATTTAGAAGAATATTTTCATTGTTATTTGCCTTGAACATAATTATTTTTTATAAAAAATAATTGAAGTTTAAATAAAAAAATTATTTAACACACACTAAAGATTAAAATTGATTTTTAATTGTTAAATTGATATATATATATATATATTTAAAAAACTTTTATATTTAATTTGAACATTTTATTTAACTTACATCTCAATAATAAATTATAACTTATTAAAATTAAATTAATAAAGAACTTAAATTAAATGTAATAATTTTTATACTTACAGAAATTTTAAAAAATATAATATATATATATACATAAAACAAACTCTTCAATAATAATAAACATAAAAAATTTATCATCTCTTTCTTAGCTATTTTTTAACTTCAACTTTGCTTGCTCTTCAGAATTTTAAACGTTACGGGCACTTTCACTGGTATTAATAGAATAGCCTACATTGTTGCTTTAAAGAGGATAATACTCTGTGTATTGGTATTTTATATGTTATAAACTATATAATAATTTAAATAAAAGTCAACTACACACATGATTATGCTATTCATGTATTTAATGGACCAAGCGTGATATTCTTAAAAGACGAAAAATTTTATTTCATTGATCAGTTTTGTGTGAGTTTGAGTTTCTGTTATTAGTTTCATATGTGCTAATTTACATAAAATAAAATCTCATTTTTGTGTGGTATTGCTGGATTAATTAAGTTAACTATTAATAAGCCTTTTGTTGTATTAAGCATATATTTTTAAATTTAAGTAAACTTTATAAATAAAAGCAAGTTAAAGAAACAGTATGTATTTTAATATTAATAATCAGTTTTTGATTTAATTAGATAAAAATAAAAAAAAATTTAAATAATTAGTTGAATCAATATACACCAGTCTTGTTAATATTTAAAATTTATAAGTTAAATTAAAATTAGTTATTTAATTATGATGATTTTAATGTTTATTTTATCAAAAAAATAATTGACTTAATACAACATATTAAAATTTTAAATTAAAATTAAATATAAAGTAACAAAATTTAATAATTATAAAATTATGTTTATAGTTTTGAAAAAAAATAAAAAATACTCGTACATGTGCACGTAATGCACAAAACTTCTGGTTAGAAGAAAGTGATATGTGGATATCTATGGTTACTGTATACATCAATCATTGACCAAATGATAAATTATTTAAATTTAATAATCGCAGCAACCTATTATTTTCACATTTGATAGACATATAATTAAACGAGAGGAATACTTAGAATAAAAAGTACTAGAGTATGTATTTTTTTAAATATTTTTTTATAAACATAATATAATATAAATTTATATTACATATTAAAAAAAAGTATACTCTTAATATTATTTAATATTATAAATAATTTTTTAATATTATTTTTTTATAATTTAATTTTTATTTATTATAATTTAACATAACATAATATTTATTATTAACAATTATGATATATTTTTTTATTTATAACACTTGTTGAATTTAAATATTACCATATAATATATTTTTAATAATTATTTGAAAATTTTAATTCAATAATATTTATACAATAAAAAATACATATAATATCATTGTATTATCGATATTAAAATTATATTTTTATTATTATCATAATTAATACTTCTAATTATTATTATTATTATTATTTTTGTTACCATATTTATTTTAGTTATTATCGCTATAATTTATGTTATTATTATAATAATAATTATTATTATTATTATTTTGACAATTATTATAATATTATCACTGTTGTAATTATATTTATTATTATTACTGAAAATATTATTAAAGTGATAATATTATAATAATAATTATTATTTATTATTATCATTAATATATTAATTATTAGTCACATTTACTTTTATGTATTTTATTTTTTTTACTGTAAATTTAAAATATTATATTTTTATTAATAAAAATTAGTCCAAATGATAAACGGCACAATATTTTTTAAATAATATTTTAAATCTAAATTTTTATATATAATTTTTTTTTAATAATAAACTTAATTATCATATTTAGATCTAGAGTCAAATTTGAGTTATAATAGTTTAGAAACTAAAAAAATATATTATACATTTTTTTGTTTTTATTTTTATTATTATGTCATTAAATAAATCTAGTTTAAAAATAAAAAAATTATATATTTAAATTTAAAACATAGTGTAAAAATTTAGAAACTAAAAGATTATAATATTACTGAAAATTATAAAATTAAAAATGTTTAATTTTTTAAACTCAAAGCGGTGTTTAGATTTTTTTAATTTAATATTTATATTTGAACAAAATTGTGTTAATTTTATCATTCTGCAGCAATGACAGACCTGGATACAGTTTTAAAAATAATTGTTGCATAATGAATAAATTGATGTTTTCTTATATCAACCGAAATAATTCATACAGTTTTTAGATTATTATTATAAAATTAATAATATTATTAACATATAATTAAATAATAATATAAAAAATCTCCTATCTATATATTAAAACAGAATTCTTAAAAATAAGGTGCAATATATAAAAATTAAAAATATTAGTTAACCCTAATTAAAATTCTTATTTGTCCAGGCAGCATAAATAGGAAAGGGAAATGTCAAAAAAATTGATCTTAATATTTTACCTTTTACCAGTGAGAGAGTAAAAATACACAAAAAATCCTTTTATCTTTGGAGGGACGAAACTAGCCACAATCCTTATAGTAATAACTAAAGCGACTGTTTAGTTTAATGATAAAATTGAGTTAAAATATGCTTACACATATCGGCAAAATTAACGACGTCGTCTTGCGGTTCTCATTGTCCTTTTTACACATATAACCTCGTTCAGCTATGAATCTCCACAAACCGTCCTGCCGAATCGGTTGAAATTAATAAAATCAAGGGGCAATTAGGTAATTGAGTATGCTATAAAATTCAAACCTGGACCCTCTTTCTGATGCAAAAAGGGCAAGAGGATCAGAGGAGTTACCGTGATCCATTGTTGTTCTCTCTCTAAGTTTTGTTTCGGCTCTCTCTCTAGAATTTTCTATCTTCTTATTCTCCCTCACAAATTAGGGTTTTTGCGAATCTCCTATTCTCTGAAATCGAATCCAACGTTTCAGCCATGGTTTCCGATTCAATCGCCGCCGCTCTAATTCCTTCTGCCGCAAACACTAAGAACCCTGGGAAGAAGAAGAGGGTACGGATTTTTATTTTTATTTTGATTTTCGTTTCGATTTTTCTGTGTTACATGCATTTGGTTCCCTGTTCTTCTCTACCTCACCGTAATCCTCTGCAAATTTCAGACCAACAGGTCCGCGAAATTGAAGCAGTATAAGATTGACGCTCGTCGCGAGCAATGGTTATCTCAAGGTATGTGACGTGCACGCCAGTGTTTCCGTTGATCCGTTCTTTCGCTGATTTTGTTCCCTTCATCTATTTGTGTCGGTGAGTTTCAGGTGTAGTGAAGAGCAAGGGATGCAAGGACGGAGTGGATGATGACGGCCAAGCGCCGCCATCGCCAGCCTTGAAACACAGCAAACGCTCGTTGGAGCCACTAAACACGAGGCGTAGAGGCGAAGAAGACGATGTGTCGATCCATCATGACAGCGATTCGGAATCGCCGTCTAACCGTACCACTGGCGTTTTATGCGGTAACGATTCCGGCACAAATTTCACCGGCAGCAGCAGTGGTGGCAGTAGCAGCAGCAGCAGCAGTAGCTCTAGCAGCGGCGGGTGCTGTTCGGGGAATATCACTGAAGAAGAAGAAGAAGAAGAAGAAGGGGAAGAAGAAGAAGAAGGTGATGATGGATGCTTGGATGATTGGGAGGCTGTGGCAGATGCTTTAGCCGCTGATGACAACCATCAAAGCCCTTGTTCGGATTCGCCTCCAGTGGTGGAAACTATTTTGCCATGTGAAGTGAATAGCGGGTCGAGTTTAGAATCTCCTAATTCTAAACCTGAGAGTGGTAGATTAGTTCCTTGGGCTTCTGGTAATAGCCGAGCTTGGAGGGCCGATGATGCTTTTCGCCCTCAGAGTTTACCTAATTTGTCTAAGCAGCACAGTTTGCCGAACCCTGATCGGCGTGGCGGAGGAGGGGTCCCTTGGACTCACACTTCCACGCCATCCTCGTGTCCCATATGCTGTGAGGATCTCGATTTGACGGACTCAAGTTTTTTGCCTTGCCTTTGTGGGTTTCGGCTTTGCCTCTTTTGCCACAAGAGGATTCTTGAGGAGGATGGTCGTTGTCCGGGGTGTAGGAAGCCTTATGAGTGTGAATCTGTCGTTGAGACAGAGGCTAGTGTGCATGGGGGAAGCCTCACTCTTCGGTTGGCTCGTTCGTGTAGCATGATCGACAGGTCTTGAGAGATTCTCTGTTTTCGTGAGCTGTGTATGCCGCGGTCTCTCCTTTTTTTTTTTTCTTTTGCATTGTCGCATTGTCTGTATTTTAGGTCGAAATATCTAATTTTCTAGGATGGCGTAGTTGGTTTTAGGGCTATGAGTTTTTGAGCACCGGTAAATCAAGTTGTTTCTCATTTGGTCTTATGGTGCATGTGATAATGTAGAATACTCATTTCGGTATGTGAATACATAAGGTGGTATAGAAATTGAATACGTTGAAAATGGTTAGATCGTCATGTGCCTTGTTTACTTTATGCTTCCATTGACTTCATGTTGTATGTACAGTTTCTGTACTCCAAATTCTAATAATTCTATGTTGAACATCACGTTTAACTGAACATGCTCATATTTCTGATTGTCCAAATTCAATTTTTACACACCTTTGCATTTATTGCATTCTGAGGCTATCTACGATGCTGTCCTATTTCCTCAACTCTCTGTTTCAGATATTTGTAACTCTGTATTAATGAATTGAGGTTATATGATTATAATGATCATCAGTTAAAATCTATATGGTTTTTCTCTGTTTTTGTAGGGGGAGGGATTTGGGGGGGGTGGGGGTGGGGGCCGGAACTAATCCAAGAGGGGAGGCAGAAGTTGGAGAGGGATGTTGGCCCCTCATTTTCCTTCTCTCCATTGTCCTCCAACCAAACAGTTTATTAATGTTTCACTGTCTCTGAAGGATGGAGCAATCATGGAAATATTTTCTCTTAAAATCAGTTCCTATTTAATTTAAGAGCCGTGTTGGCAATGTTATCAAAGCTCTTAAGAGTTGATGTACTGACAGGTAAATAAAATTTTGCAAAGACAAATGTTTAATCATTCAATTGGCCTGTGCACTGTTTTTGAGTATCAAGGGTGGTAGAAAATTATTGTTCTGTTTGCTTCTAGTCTTTCATTGCGTTTGACTAAATTTGTTCGACATGGATGCATCTTTTGGTTGCTGGACAATCATCTTGCCTAAATCATATATATGTCATTATTAAAGCTTGGTCCTTCTTTTCCCTATATTGCCATCTCCCATACTGGATGGGGATATGGTGATTTGCTGTTTTAATGTGAATTAACAATGTAAATGTAGCTTCTATTAATATTCTAATGACTATTGAACATGGTTTTTCATTTCTTGTTGATTCTCTTCTAGGAACCACAATGTACTTTGTAAATATAAGTTTGAAGGCAGGTAAATAGGGTTTCGAGTTTTTGAAGGTATGGGAATATCTTTATGGCATTGTTGTACATGAACCTTGTTGGTTTGATTCAGTCACAGTCAATGAATAATTTGCCCTTCCTGCTTTCTCGGGATTCTGATAATGGGTACTTGACTGGTTACCTTTGATTTCACTCAACCTGCATCAGGTCACCATCTTGATTCCTTGTAATTCAAATTGGTACATCTTTTAAATTTTGTGTACATTGTTAATAGTTCATGTGCAGTTTGCTCTTTCTTCCATTTCTGCTCGTGATCAAGAGACTCAAAAAATAATTTAAATAATTATAAAACTGACTTGTAAAAATTCTCTCTACAGGATTCATTTGGTTCATTAATCTAAAAAATGCAAGTTAGTTACTTAAAGTAATCAATTTTTTTTTTCATACAAATCAGTAGGCTACTTGTATGAAACTGAATGAAAAGACAATTAAGATGGATATCACATTCACTTGCTTGGTATAATGAAATATGAGAAGATTGATGATTTAATTCGTTGACAATGGCATATTTTCTGCCTCTTACATTGTTTATCATATTCTTATCTGTGGGCATATTCCATACTTGGTAACACATTTGCTTTTCACAAGCTTTTCTGTGTCTCTCATGCAGTTCTTAGTTTGGGCCTTTGGGGTTGGTTGTAGTATAGACAATGGAAGTGATCACATGAAAGGTACCAATAATTATTTATCTCTGCGTTGTGTGTTTTGGGTTGCACAATCTATAGTTGCATTATGTTCATGCTCATTTGAACAAGATTTTGAATGAGAAATGTAAACCTTTAACTCTCATCTTTCAAATTTTTATTGAAACAAAAAATATTTATTATAGAAGATATAAAGATGTAATACATTTTTTAATAAAATTTTACTATTATGAGTTACTTAAACATAGTTGTAAAGATATGAGATTAACATTTAAAGAAGAAAAACTATTATTATTTCCTTTCATTTATGGGCTATACTCCTTTGGTTGTGTTTTTCCAGCAAATTTTCTACCAAACAGTTGACGCAAGTTTTCAAAACTTTTGAGATATAGAGCTGTGGTGAGACATTTGTATGCATACCTTAATCAGGTTGCTATGCTAGTGGTAGGTCTATCATTTAAATAAATTTTGTTTGATGATGTTTTAAAACGAGCTGAAGAGTGAGAAACCCTTGGAAACTAAGACAAATATTGTTTAGAATGTTACTGATGATTATTTAATCAGTGTGATAAGTAACAGCAGTTGTTGAAATTTCGCTTAGCAAAGACAGACCTTTGGACTATTGGGAGTGGAAACGGGCACAAGAAAGCTAACTCTTAAGGACAGTAATTAGACATGCCCATGCCTTCCATGTGGATTAAATTTGGACATGGGAAATGCTACTTTTCTGGTTGCCTGGTTGTTCTGGATTATTCATCTCTTTTTATGTGCAAGGAAATGACACGAGGCTTTTTATCTCCTTAAATGTGCACGTTGTACTAAGAATGCCACAATATTTCTTTTGTTTATTATTGGTGCTAGTTATCTGTATTTGTGTTAAGTTTGCTCAGTTTTGGAAATAGTAAGGTGGGTAAGATTTAAAGAAGCTGGCTGGTTTTACTGTGGTTTGGAGTGTGTGTTTAGGACAAAAAGATATGTTTTTTAATAGAAGATTATTTTGCACAGCCAACTTATGTCATGGTAGATAATTTTGTAGCAATTATGCTGTTCCTGTTCCTAGGTTGTGTATGTAGTTTGTAAAAGCATGGTTTGGCACGACGGTTAAGTAACAATTTTTACACTTTACATTCAAACCATGGTTTGGAATTGGAACCCAAAATCATGTTTGAACACAACTCAACCCTGATTTTGCGAACATGTTATTTATATAAGAAATTCAATTTATATTCTCCTAATTTAGGTTCGGGGTGTGAAAACTTGAATTTAAACTTGCATTTATTATTGAAATGAGTTGTTTATAAAGATGTTGAAGAGTTTTCAAATATCCTTCCTATCCTCGTGGAGGAGATATCTCATGATCTGTTTTAATTCCCTTCATCTTAACATAAATATTTCAGTTTCTGTTTTAAATATTCTTGTTTTTGCCTTATTTCTGGGTCAACGATATTTTCAGTTGCTGACTGTAATTGACGATCAATTGGTTGTTGGGTAGGCCCAACCAGCAAGAGCATTACCAATTGTTGTTCTTGCCAACTTACTGCTATTCGTATGTGGAAATTTAGGTTCATGGCACCCTAGCTTTCGTAACGAGTCTGTTCTTTGTTGGACATTATGTCTCTTTTTGGGTATGAGAAATTGCCCCAGCCCCAGGAATAACACTGGAGTAGTTTGTAGCTTATTTTCTTCTTGCTGTCACATTGCGTCAAAATCGAGCCTTTATTAAGTATTGATATGCGCTCTAATATAGGATTCAATTTCAAAGCTTCCAGCTGTTTGTATTAAAGTGATAGTATCTAGTTGTGCGGTGCCTTTCTCGTGAGGTTTTGTCAGATGTACTTCATTTCCTGATTGGATTAGTTTCTGTTAGGCCGCGTCTTACCCCTTCGAGTATTAAAAGAATGAGGAAAAAGAAAGGGACTACTTTGTTATCAATCAGAATTAATCAACTAGAAATGAAACAAACCGATTTTTTCTTGTTAAATGAAGCTGCACTTTGATCTTTTTAGTGCATGATTACATAAAAATTAAGTTAATGTCAATATAATATAAAAATTACAGCTAGTAACGTTAGAAATAAACGTAGATGTATGGTCATTTAAACCTGAATTTAGCTAGAAACGTTTCAGCTGAGTTTTAATTGGGAGGTCAGGGACATCCATAACTTTTACTCAAACGAATGTATTTTCACCTGAAATGCTGTCCTGGAAAACAAATGTGGGAATTTACTGGGTTCCATAATTACAAGCGATAAAAGTCATGGTTATTTGCATTGAATTGAGGCATTTACTGATGAAGTTGGTTTCGAGCTTAAACTGCTTCGTTGCGTCCTTGTACATATACAATGGAGGTGACTTTGGCGCTTGAATTATAGGCTCCCATAGCAGCTCCTCATACAGATTTTGCATATTCATCTTCCCCCTTTTGCCATAGACAGGAGACACTACTTCATGCGCTTCGTGATTGCCCTCGAGCCTCAAGCGCATGGGTTCATTTTGTTGCTTCCCAACACCAACATCGCTTCTTCTCTTGCTCTTTATGGAACTAGATGGTGTCTCACCTTATCTTCAGCAGCCTTTGGTCCAGTGTTAACAATTCTAACACGATGGATAAGGGTGGTGTTTTATTCTCTACTATGGTTTGGTTACTATAGAAGGATTGAAAAACTTGGTCCCTTAAGGACGTAATATTACCTCTGAAAGATTTTTTTTTGCGTGGTGTTTTTAGTGAAACAAACCTACTTCATGGTGGCAGACAGTTTAACATGTCGTGTTTCCCAAGTTGTAGATTTGCATGGGATTTTCTTTTGCCTATTGTACGCCCCAAAATTGTATTCGTAATCATGTTAGAAGTTATTAACTACGTGGGTCGTTGGATATATAATAATGTTCCAACCTTTCACAATCATATTTTTTTCGAGTTATTGACAATCATATTGTCACCGGCTATAAAATGAACATAGACAAAATCATTCAGTTTCGTTCTTTATTTTGTTACACCTACTTTGCTTGAAGTTATGTATGTTCTATTTTTTCTATTTTATTTGGTACGTTCAAAGTTAATTAAAGTGAAAGATCTTATATAGCAATTTTTAGATCCAGAAGCAAATCCCTCCAATCAACAATTTGCATGAACCGAAATTGATACAAATGCATAAAATATTGCTTCAGAAATTATCATCTGATTGGCTGGAAGATGAAGCTACTGACCTACTTGACTGGAAATGTAAATCAAAGTTTGGTAATCTGAGTGGCACCCTATTTGATGGTGAAAGAGGCGGTGTTGATACAGATTCTCCTACATTATTCTTTTCTAGTTTCCTTCTAAGTTCTATGCAAACATCATCTACCATGTCAACAAATTCTTTTACAGTAGCAAACAGTTGAAAGGGGTTTGACATGTTATCTATGGAATCTCCTGTTAGAAAATACTCATTGGTTTTCTTGACCAGTTCCGTGATCCGTGTCTGTTCCTCTCTCACCACATTAAGCTCCTCTTCACATTCCTCTACAAATCCTTTCATTGCCTTAATAAATCCACCTCTTTCACTGTTGCCACAGCATGTTATAATCTGTCGAATTTCAGTAACATAAGCATTGAGAGTAGAGTACATACTAATAAAATTATGGTGTTCAATACTTGCTGCTTTCTTTACTTCAGATAACTCATCCCTTAGCCCTCCTAACACTATTAAACCATGCTTTAGATACTCTCTTTCTGTTTCTTGTTCTATCAGGCTACCTGAATAAGGCCCACTGGTGTTGCTTATTTCACCAATGCTTTTGTGAAGGTTGTGCTTTTGATTGATAGCTTGTTGTTTTCCTTCAGAATAAGCTACCTGCTCCACAATAAAGTGAAGCAAACTAGTTTTCCCATCTGTGCTTTTTACATCAGAAAGCTTTTTAAGAGCACTTAAGTTGAAACCATAGGCGCTGCCTCTTGAAGTTCCTGCATTCATTTGGTTTCCAGCTTTGAGAATGGCTTCAAGGAATTTCAAAAGCAGACCACTAGTCTTCACCTCTTCACAACCGATTTCAAGAGTTTTTAGGTGTTCTTTAAGCTGAATAACTTCACAATCATAACTTGAGCTGAAAAGCAGTGCTTTTAAACGAACGAAAGCTGTTGGAACTGCTCTCAGAATGTAGTAGAGGAATGACTCAGCATCAGCAAGTTTATCTGGGTTTCCACTGAATTGAATGATTTTTGTTTCTTCTTCTTGGATAGGAGCTATGTTAGTGAGTCTTTCAAGTGTCTCAGCACTGAGTCCTTGACCATCGAGGAGTGCATCTAGGATACCCTTGTGAGACATTGAAAGAGATCTTAGGACTATGGCAGTGTTTTGGGATTTTCGAGGGTCCAGAATGAATACTTGAGTTGGTGTGTTGGAGTTGGACTTAGCTGAAGTTGAAAGACACCTATTTCTTTCATGGGTTTGTCTGTTAGTTGAATATCCAAAGAGTGTTTCCATGAGTTCATAATCAAACCTGTAGATGAAGTTCAAAAAAAAGAAAGCCATATATTGTGAAGTTGACAATGCGCCAAAGATAAAGGAAAAATAACAAAATAAAATTGGGATAGAGTCAAGGAAGATTTACTGGAAAGAGCCATTATTGATTTGATCCCACACAGTTGAATGATCAACATTAGTTACCACCTTATCCCAATACAGAGGCTTCAGCCTTGTTTGAACAGCACCCTTCCCTCTTGAGCTCTTCCCTACCATAGCCTCTGTGGTGTTTGTGTTTGCTTTCCCTTTAGGTGGTAATGAAGGAAGAGGTGGTGCATTTGGAACCTCCTTTCTTGGAGGGGAAGGTGGTGGTGGTGGTGGTGGTGGAGGAGGAGGAGGAGGAGCTGGTGGTGAAAATGGTATAGTTTTCTTCTCCATAATCATTGGTGAAGTTTGTGGAATTGATGGAAGTGGAGGTGGTGGCCGAGGTGATTGTGGAAGGTGTTGAGCTGAAGTTAATGATAACGACGTTGAGTAAGGTAGAGAAGATACTTGTGATAGTGATGTATCTTGATTCTCATGATAAATCAAACCTGGACCTGAAGAGTCACATAGCAGTGGAACTGTAACCACCTGAGGCTTAATTCGTTTGGATCTTTGGACCATCATATCTGTTCTCTTTTCTTCATCATCTTCATAACTAGGATTATATCTTCTATTTGGGAATCTAGTTTTGAATATCCTACCTTCAGTTTCCATCATATACAGAATATCAATACCATTTTCTTCAACAAGTAACCCTTTCATGTTACCACTAACTTTCTTTATATCCTCATGGTCCATTCCCGCTTCTCTAAAAAGACTAGCTGCAATTTTGTGTCTAAGGTGGTATCGATCAAGGGCAAATTTTTGGAAGAAGTAGAAGGACATCAAAGCAAGAAGTAGCATAGTTGCTGCTGTAGCTACTACTGCCACTACAATTGCTTGACTAGGGGCTGACATGGATTAACTTTGCGGTGGAAAGATTCAAGTGATTTGTGGTGATATTCTAATGGATCTTCGAAGATCAGAGGCCAGAAATACCAGGATACCGTGAAACAGAAAGATAAAAAAATAAAACATAATAGAAATTTAAAAGAAATGAAAATAAGCAGTAAAATGTCTTTCATTTCAATGTGTCTAACTACTGCTGCTGACAATTTCAATGTGGTAGTTGTCATAGGTATGATTTGTATTATTCTGTCTGAGAGCTTATGCCATGTCAGGAGCTGCGTAAATTGCCCTCAAATGACAATTCCAAATTGGTGGCCAATGAAATTATAACATAAGTCAGACAATTTTTGGATGGTGAGTTATAATTGCCCTCTTGTTTATGGTGGATGAAATGGTTCAACTGTCCCACCTCAAGATCTAATGCCATTGTTAATTAGGTTTAATTGATGACCTTTCTGTTGGTGCAATGCTCCTCTGGATGAAAATATTTGTTGTGCTTTGTTGGTCTAAATGATGCTATTTCTCAAAAATTTTACGTGGAAGGCCACAATCTTGCTCCAGCTGCTTCGGCTGAAAAGTTATTGGCATATCAAAGGTGATGGGCTTTACGCTATTTATTTATTGTGATGATGTCTGTTAAGTTCACAGAAAATGATTTGGAAAGGCTCATCTTGCTTCAGAGTATCGTGACTATTGTCCTAGTCTTTTTTGGTAGGTTGCAAAATATTAATGGGATTGATTAATAAGATCAATGAAAATGCCATCCAAGTTGGACTCACTTGCAAAGACTCTTTTGAGTATTTAAATTGCCATATTTAGTTAATCCTGGAAGCAAACGTGTTGTGAAAATTTTAGCCTACACAGATAGAAAACACCATAAATACAAGGAGATCTTGCCGCCACGCGTTAACACGAAATCAAAATTAATAAAGAGGAAGGAGGCAGGAAAATTAATGTCTAACTCTTCATTGGAGTTGACTATAAGCTTCGTGGAACTTGTTAAATAAAAACTTCATAAAAACATGTTAAAACTCGAGAAATTAAGAGTTAAATTCTCTAAAATAAAAACATATTAACCATTAATTTAAATTAATCATATTTTTTAAATATTTGAATTTAAATTAATGATTAATAGATGTAGCAGCCACCATTCTTTTATATTCAAAATTCGATCAATTTCTTTTTGATTTTCCCAAGATTTCATTGATCCATCAACTTTTTGAAGTATCAGGCATCCCATTCTCCGATTTTGGATTTATTATTCAAATTTTACAAGATTCCGACATTCTGGGAAAATTAATTTATGAAGTTGTAATTAGAAAAAATAAAAGGTTTGTCAAAATAACGCTCTATTTAAAAAAATAAAATTATATGTACAGAAAGCAAAATGTGCAAACAAATAAGAGGCCAAAAAATCAGTGGTAATTCTGACATATGCTTTTTCTCATTCCTAATGTGTATATAGAGAGACCGGTGAACAGATGCAAGATACACTACTCAATCTTGAATATGAACATTAGTGTAGCAAAAATGGAGACATGGCACTAGCACGCTATACTCGATCTCTGATCACAATCTAGACTTCTTTGAGGATAATGTGGATGGTGATAATGGTGACAGTATTGATGATGGATCGCATGGATGAGACATTGCTGAGCATGTCGTTGACACAGACTGACTGCAATCAATTGATCTCCTTCTTTTGTGAGATCTTTTCTCTCCTTCATTCACTTTACCTCTCATGATGAAATCTTTTAGACGTTTTACGTCAGACAACTTGACGGGCTTCAACAGAAAATCCTCTGCTCCTTCCTCCAGGCACCTGCTAATCATTAAACATTAAGGTCCTAAGAAGCATGCCTACAAACATTGGCCACGATTGCTAGGCATAGAATATGATATAATATTAATGTAATATGTCATTAAAGAGTTGTTAAATTACCAATATGTTTATATCACCGAAAGTGATCAATATGATACCAGGAATACAAATGCATGCATTGTGTTGTATAGTCGTTGATAAATGTACAACTATATAGTAATTATAACGAAAGAAGTTGTTGTCATGCCAAATGGGGTAGATCATTAGATAAATTGGAATCTGGGTTTTAACAAGCTTATTCAATTTGCAAGACAAGTTCTCCAATGCTTAAATTCAAGTATATTATATTGTAAGAATACGTATCAATTCTGTCTACTGATTAAATGCTAAAACATGAATTTGCTAACTAAACAAATACTAACATTAAAGAAATGATGTCACACACCTATTGTAAAAGCAAAGAAAGTTTAACTGTGTTTCATTGTTTGCTAAATACTCGACAAATGATCAGAATCATTTAATAAAAAACGTGAGGTTCAAAGTAGCCTGTCTATCCACTACGTTCCCACTTCAAAACCTAGGCCTAAGTAGCAATCAACAAACCCCCAAATCCCTATAATTATCATAATGGTCCCGTGGCTTCCTGCATAATCAGTGATAATCATGGCAAGGCCAATCACAGTGTCTGCTTACGCCTAAGCAACTATCAAAGATTTCTAGGGAACTCAACACACTAGCCACTTTACCATCAGTTGAATAATTAGGATCCACATGTGGGGTTTATATCCTGATTCAGTGGCTGGTTATACAAAAGTTTACAGGGGAGTATTTTGGTCAGAATCAAAATAGTAAATAACTAAATGTCACTAGAAAATTAAGACACTATTCTAAGAATTCATTAATATATGAATACAATCTGGCTAAAACTCCACAAGAACCAAACGGGGGGTAAATTAATAAAGAGCTTACCTATCAATTCGAGTCAAAATATTCTCCGACGACATGATCACCACAGGGATCTCTCTAAACACAGAAGATTCCTGCTGAAATTAACACAAAGGGAGTAGTAGAGTTAAGAAACAACTTCCACCCTGTACACAATTTCAAAAAGTAACTTAAAACATAACACAAAACCATAAAAATACAACATAGAATTCTGCGCCCAATGACCTGCTCTCACAAAATAAACAAACGCGAGAAAAATTTAAAAGCCAACACCCACCTTAATTTTCTTGAGTAATTCGTATCCCGTCATCCCCGGCATGGAATAATCCGTCATTATCAGATTAACCTTAACACTCTGTCACCACAACCAATCAACCAAACGACAACGTAAGCAACCCAACCAACCAATTCCACGAAACTAACCTTTCCAAACACATTCAACATTCCAAAAGCACAATTTTCTTACATCAAACCCGAGAGAACCGTTCTCTCCATCCAGCCCCAAATACTGAAGCGCTCGCGTTCCGCTCTCCACAACCGTCACTGCAAAACAAAACACACACACAGCTTCAGAATGAACCCCACACAAAATCAAAGAAACCCAATAGGCTAAAAGCAACACTTAAGTTACCTTTGCAAGAAGAAATCTTCAGCAAACGCTCAATAACCTTGCGATCAACGAGGCTGTCATCAACAGCCAGAACATGAAGTTCGGGAGCACCAGAAGGCGACTCCTCCGTCAAGTTGTGCCGGAAAACTTCGCCGACGACAGCCATGAAAACTGAACAGAAAAGGGTCTTTGGCTGTTATTGTTTGTGAAATGTGAGAAAGAAAAGAATGGAAAGTTGACGGAAGACAAGTGAACGGAAATGGATGGGTTTTTATTTACATGCGGAAAGGAGAGAGAAAACGACGCGTAATGATAATAAAAGAAATGGGAAAATGAAAAAGTAAAATAATAAAGGCGAGAGATTCGGAGTATCCAAATCTGAGAGATCTTTGCAAATCCAGCACAAGCGATTATCCCACCTCCACTTGTCCCTTCTTCTGTCAAAATCAAAATCTTACTTTTATTATTATGCATTTTTTAAAATATTATTATTGATTTAATTGAATTAATAGCAACGTTGGTCACAGTCAGAGGAGGCCAAACGTATCTTGCTTGGGGCCAGTTACCCCTTCCGAATGCCGGGTTTTGACTTGGCAATGCCATTGCCACTTGTTTCTGAGTTTCACGACCCTATGACAAATCAACGGTTCAACCATCCTTTTCCTCCTTCAATTCTTCCATTTATGTGGCCTTCTTTCCACTGTTAGGATTTCATCTTTAATTTTAATGCAAACCAACAATATTTCAAACCAACTATTGCAATATTTTCTCATTTTCCATTCACACCTTCCTTACATTCAACTTTTCCTTTTCTTTTTCTTTCAACGTTTAGCTTACGCCGCCAATTCATTCATTTTTAAGTTATGCCAGTAACGTGCATATGTAAATTTATAGTATTTAAAGTATAACGTATTATTATTAAAAATATAAATATACATTTTAGGTTTTTTTTTTTTGAGTTTTCATATTTTTGATATTTTGAATATTTTCCCTTTTTTAATATTAACATAATAATTTAAAGTACGAAAAAACAGTGAAAAAACTAAAACAAAGATGATATAATGTTAATTATTACATTAAAAAAACCACAGAAAATGTATCATGGATAATATTAGAGAAATAAATTTGTGATGGCACCTTATGACATATAATATACACATTATAAAGAACAGGGGAGAAGGAATAAGATGAAAAGTACTTTGCAGATAAAATGGTGCTGAATTGTCGGTATAAAATGAATTTCAGATTAATTAATATTAGTTAAAAATATTTAAAACATTATGAAATGTATTATAGTCCATTTCATTAAATAAATACGTACAATGTGACATTTACATTATGAGGCCGACAAATTTGTCGCGTGTCTTTCAGCTGAGTTCATGTAAAATGAACTTAAGTTGCCATGTTTTGTAAGTGGGATACTACTTTCTCCTCTAAAATTAACACTGAATTTTAAAAAACAAAATATTGCATACCATGTCATTTTCGATTGTACTGTAACTAAAATAATAATGTATACATTTTGAGTAAATTCCATGGATAAAAACCGCACTATCTAACACGTAAGAGGCAGTTGTATGTTAAAACTTCAATTTAAATATAGCATATTGATATTATAAAAACATCCATTATCAATTAATTAATATTATCATACTGTTTATATTTTACGTCAATATTTAACATTAATTAATAATGTAAACACTTTTATACAAATCACGTGTTAAAATTAAACTTTTAAAATTATAGATAATGTTTGCATAGACAAAACATCTTACACATATAAAACGCTTATTTTTGTGATATTCAGTTTGTCTTAAAATTTATATTATCACATTAATTTTTACTGTCAATATATATTTGTTTGGAATAAGAAAAATTTTCTAAACTAAAAATTATATTGAAAGAAGCTACATTTCGATAAGTTTTAGAGGGTCAGGAAGGAGCTAAAAAATATGCTTGAACCTAAGAAATATTGGAAGATTGTCCAAAACCCTATCAGAAGGGACACATTTTCAAGCTATTTTATAGGTTTTTTGTCAAATCGTTGATTTTCTTCTTAACTGCTTGAAAGACAAGAAAATATTCTAAGTCGACAAAACTGAAGGTTTTTTTGAGGGGTTTTTGAGGAGTTTTCAAGTTTCTGACATCCAAAATTGCTCGAAAAATAGGACTGACAAGAAAATATTCTAAGTTCACAAAACTCAAAGTGTTTTTGAGGAGTTTTCAAGTTTCTGACACCCAAAACTGCTCAAAAAATAGGAAGTGGCTGAAAAATATTCTAAATCCACAAACTTGGTTGAACTTTAAAGTCTCTCTAGAGTTGCTCGAAAAACAATAATGAGCAAAAAAAAGATTCTAAGTCCATGAGACCAAAACAAGCTCTCAAAATTCCATAATAAGTCGAAAAGAGAAGTTAAAGAGAAATTATTCTAAGGCCATAACACTAAGTGAACCTCTTAGATTTCTCCCAAAAATTCTCGAAAGATAGAAAAAATGACTTGATATGTTAAGTTATTGCAAAATTCAAAAGCGGTTACCAACAGTTGTCAACATTGGGCAAAGGTTCAACTACGCAAAGAAAGATCATGGGTAAGAACAGTTACCAGTAGTTACCGATAGCACGATCACAAGCAATTGTGGACAATGGGCATAACATTTGAAGGTAGTTACTAAAAAGTGCCCACAAAATGAGGAGAACGCTAGTGGTTCTCTTGCCAATAAATACTCAAAAGAGTCATTTTACAAATGACAGGTTTTTGCACCTTGACATCGCATCTAAAACTTCTGCACGCTGAAACCCTACACCGCGCCAGATACTAGCTACAAGTAGACTCACGGTGGCCGTTGTTCGCTGTGGTGAGGAGTCGTACGTTTACATTCCTGCACATTTACTTTTCTGTATTTTAATTCCAGTTTGTTGCTTATTTTTTTTTGTAATTTAGTTCCTATTTAGCACATTTATGTAAAAACATCTAATTCTGATTAAATTCTTCTTGACTATTAGTTGCTATTTTCGTTTAATCCTCTACTTTATAGTGTTAATTTTACTGTTACGTTAACAACACACTTAAAATAACAAAAAAAGAACCTAATCTAGTCTTCAGATTGCTCTTAGATTGTTAAATGACAGTTTTGTAAATAATATATAAGGATATTTTTAAATTATTATTCAAATTTGTGATATAAGTTCACAATATGTTAATAGCAAAAAAATAAATAAATATCATAATACGTTAAAACATCTCTAAAGTGTAAATTACAAAAGAACTAAAGTTAAAAAATAATGTTTGAAGTAATTAATGGCAGTCGAGTGAAAATGCGTATCTAGACTCTTACGTTTCGTTTGTTTTAACGGAAATTAAGAGGATTAAAATCATAAAAGGTTGGAATGGAGTGAATTTATGTTATTTCACTAGTTTAGTTTAGATAAGATTTTTTTTTTTCTCATACAAAAGCATTTCTCTTCCATTTAAGCATGAAATGTAGTGGGTGTTCAAATGCATTTTTTTATTTAATTGTTTAAAAAATTTTAAAAAGTTAGCAAGGAATTATTAGAAATCAATAATTTTATAACACAAAAAAATACAATAAATAAATTTTAAAATTCTAAAGTTAAATTTATTTTTCCGAACATTATAATTTTTTAATATGACTTATTTAATTACTGCTACTCTTATTTTCACGCGTCTAAATAAGCAAAAATAATTTTATTTTTATCAATCTAAATGACACATTATTATGTTTTATTTTTTATTCACTTATTCCTATTTCATTATCATTACGTTTAAATTTACGTGTTCTACCTAGACCAACTCACAAAGCAGAAGATATAAAAGGGTCCGTGGTGATTTTGTAATTTCTTTATTAGTTTTATCTTAAAATATCGAAATTACTCGTTTTTAGGTTTATGTCTTATTACTCTTTGTCTGTTTACAGATTTTTTTTTAATGGAGATTATGAAAAATAACTTGTTTTTAATAATTTTAGGATTTTTATAATTTAAAAAATCAAATTGATAAATGTGTATGATTTTAAAGACTAAAATATTTGTTTTTACTAATTTAAGAGTTTTTTTTTCATAATTTTAAAATCTAAGTTAACATTGTTTTGTAAAATTAACGACTAAAACAATGAAATATTTTATTTTTTTTTAAAAAGTCTCATTTACCTGTATCATACAACAAGCTAACAAAAAAATGAGGTAAGTATAAATATATTAGTTCGAGAATTAATGTGTTATGCCTTTTCGAAAATCTATTTAAGGTATAATTAAAAATAAATGCATTAAAAATTATTTTACTATATCTTTAGACTTTAATAAAATATATATAGCATTTTAAAAAAAATATTTTTGAAAGTCTAAAATTAAATATTAGATAATGTGTAAATTAATTGACACGTAATTACTTGAATTTGACTAATAATCTGAACTAAATTGAAAAAGAAGAGAAAAATGGGGGTAGTGGGAGCGTACAGTGAGGATGATACGGTGACAGGTAGAGCCCACAGCTGATTTTCTCCCTTCTTTACGTCAACCAATATCTCTCTTACTCTTAACTATTTTTCTTTTATCTCATTCATCCGTTTCCTCATCGGATTCCCTGCTTTCAGCTTTATGCTCCACCTTTTCACGCTCCATCCAATCTCATCAATTTTAATTCTTAAACACCATAACACATAATTATTTTTTTAAATCAGTGTTTAAGATTATATAACAATTTTTTAATTTTTTTTATTAAAATCTATAACATATATCTTTTAAAATTAATAGATTAGTCATTAAATTTTTTAATTTATTTTATTTTTTAACTTATAAGATTATTCTAAATAAATTTTTTCATAAAAAATGTAATTTCTGTCAAAATTTGAAATTTATATAACAAATAAAATCAATACATATAACAAACGTGGTACATTTTTTTTTTATATAAAAAAGTATATATATTTTTTACTTGCTTTCTTTAATATAATAATTATCGAGTTCACTTTGATTGTAAAAGTAACAAATTTAAGTAGTAAAATAAATTAAATACCTTTTACAGGTTTAATTTATCTTGTGTTTATTTTATTTTTGAAACTTATTTATTATTAGTATTATTATCCACAAATTCAAGTAAGTAGAACTTAATCGTCAAAGTAAAAGTTAACTTGTAGATTGATATTTTCTAGATTTATTAATTTTTGTAAAACAAGATAAAATTCCCTCTTTTTGAACTTTATACCACCTTTTTAAGTGTATAACTCCATAATCCTGCGG